CGATGGCCCCGTGATGTACGTGGTCTTGACGTTGTAAACGTAGGGAAAGGCCTGTCTCCGTCGACTTTTGTCCAGCCAGCTTCTACCGATGACGTCCAGGGCTGATGCCCCGTCAATATCACGCGCCTGCCATCAATCTCCACGTCTTCCTGCTGCTCATTGAGCTCCCAGCTGATCCAATACAGCCGTGGCCTGCTGCACCAACAAAACGTCCCAGCGTCGATTTTCCAGGGTTGATCCCCGAACGACTCCGTCATGATGTCCTTGTCACGATCATCCATTGATGCTACGCTCTCCATCAAGCAGTGGACCTGCCCCCAAGGGAAACAACACTGTACCAGCTCACGCAATCGCTTCACGTGCACGAACAATGACGATCGCTCATCACGCAATGCCCCCTTGCGTTGACTGTTGAGTCCTGAGACTCCTTGGCATGGTGGTCCAGCGCCAATTAGGATGAGCGAGGCCTGCCCAAAACGTAGCGCCCAACGCCGAACGTCCTCCGTCGAGATCTCCGCAACATCGTCATAGTGCCAACTATCTGGGAAGTGGTGCTCAACCACCCGGCGGGCGGCAGCGTCCTTTTCAACACAGATGTGGCCTATCACGTCACACCCAAGCAGATCCAGGGCGACTCTGAGGCGCCCGATCCCATCAAAGAGGCCAATGCTCAAGATCCGTGGTCCGCCACCTGCCACCATCTCACGGCGTTCCTCGCCCAGGGCCACCTTTTCCCCGTAGTTTGTGAGGCTTGTGGCTACGCAGACACCTCCTCCATGCTGTGACGCGTCGCTGCAGGTGACCCTTGGGTTCATCTTCAGGCGGAAGTCCATACGACAGAGAGGGACTAGGCATAAGAAGCGAATAATCTCCAGCTTTACTCCAATTGGGATGAGTTGCTTGTGCCGCCCACAAGAGTTGAAAGACTCGATAAACGCCCAACAGAGGTTGAGCCCTCCGAGAAGCTGGCGACGGAAGGTGGAGAAATACACCAAGCCACCACAAACTACCTGCATTTGTCTTTGCAAGCAGTGGGACTCACTCACCAGCTGGTAGGCGATGGTGACATACTTGGACAACTTCTGCCCCTTAGGGTAAGCAATGCCCCGTTCCCCGTCAACGACTGCTCCTTGTACTTCCGCAACTGTCTTCCGGCTCACTGCTTTGCCGGGGTGTCGAGGGAGTCCCCACGCCTGGTATTCCTGTCTTAGCGCTAAAACCTCTGGGGCAACCTCCTCGACCATACCTCCTAGCACCTCGTGGGGGTATTTCTCGAGCAGGTCATAGTTGTCAAGATACACTCTCCAGACTGTCGCCCCCTCTGGTAGCACCCTGTCTTTGCGTATCTCCTGCGACGCCGTATCACGCACATGGTTGTGAACTTGTGAACGCCTAGCCAGGACCCGATGCACGTGCTGGGCTATGCCAACGCTGTTCAGGAAACCCATCGGCAGAACCTTTGAACAGGGATAACAAGGCTGCCCCCGAAGTTCCGGAGGCACCAACTCCGGCGGTAACCTCTTGTTGAAGCATACATAGGGGTACCAGCAACTAGGCAACCGCAGTGTGTAGAAAAAACACCGTAGATCTTCGCTTGATACCACCATGGATTCATGCGGTTGGATGTGGAACGGCGTCATCCCAAACCAGTGCGGCAGGGTATGTCCCCGTGAAGTCCTTGACAAAGTGCATTGAGTGGCACTAAATTCATAATTGGCCTGTAAACAGGTATGCCCTCCACTTCTTCGTTTCTCCACTCCAAACAGTCCGTTTAGCAAGGGTCTTCCATGCACCTTAAAAACCTCCGACTCAGGGATGACCCCGAAAATACCAGCCTCAAGCAATCCAGTGGCTACCTCTGTCCAGTCCCTGTCTGCTACCATGACTTTTGCTTTGCGCGCGTGTCCCCATTCGTGCGACGGTTTGAGAAAGTTTGGGAAGTGTTCAATGTAGTGCTTGCATCCCTGCTCACAGATGTCCTTCAGCTCCACCACACCGATCTCACGGGGTATGGCGGGCTGGATGTTCCTCCAAGTAAACTGCTGCGCAGTCTTGACTTCATCCCCCTTATAATCAATAGTCCGCGTCCTGAAAAAAGAGTCCCATTCAAAAAACTCCGTCACCTCGCCAACCCCTCCCAGCCGAGCCACGTCACGAGCGATCGACCGGAGGATGCGGGTGTGCACCTCTGACACCATCTCATGCACCAAGGAGGATTGTCCATCCTGCAGCGGAGCAGTCGGGCAACCCCATAAAGAATTCAGGCCCATGCAAATAGCTTGTACCCATGCGATGACCCAAGGTTCAGCGGCATCGAGAGCGAGGGCGATCTGGGTTCGAAAGGTGGGCAGAGGGAAAGTGTCCTTAGCCCCTAAAGCGTCCGGAAACCCTCCCTTTGCCGTGGACTGGCTGCAGAGCGACGACACCCTTCGAAACTCTCCGACCAGGTCCTCCCCCATCTCCCAAAGCCTCTTGCCACACAGTCCTTTTCTCGCCTCTCGGCGACGCACAGGGCTTTGCCCCGGGGTGTTCGCACCACTTGACAAATAGCGATCTGTAACTGCATGTTCTTCGCTAGCAAGCGGCACCTCTGGAGAAATGCCAGGGGGCAGGGGAGGGAATGGAACATCCTCCACTTCTGCCCCCACAGGGTTCACCCCCCGCATCGTAGTGCACCGTGTGGAAGCCAAAGCCCCAGGTGGGTCAATTGTCTGCCTCTTCTTCCGGGCGCCAATGACCTCATCGTTCAAAAGACTGTCCTGCTCAGGGCTTTGCCCCCGATCCCCCATATCGCCTGTACTGCGTCCCCGAGCTTCCAGGGCATTCCCCCGTGATGTATCTGCCAACTCGTCACCAGGGCACGCCCGCCCCGAGTTCGTAGTGCTTATATTGCCATTGCCCTCTGGACCCACTTCAGCCTCTAATCCTTTTTGGGTTTTGCCTTCCCTTTTTTCCCTTTGCCTTTGGCGCCTTCTTCTTTTTCTGCTTTGCCCCCTTTTCCTTTGCTCCAGTCCTTCCAACTCCCGGCCTGGTGAGCCTTCACTTCGGCGCGGTGCTCCGCTGTTGCAATCGAGAGCTCCTGCCGTGACGATAGGCTGGCCCCGTCTGGGGGCAAAAGTTCCATCCGCTGGGCGGATGTCCATGCAAGGCCAGTGGACTGGGCTTCGAGAGACTTCAGCCTCTGTATCAGGGTGTCCATCGCCCCGGGCACCATGCCCTTCAATAATTGATCTCCTATTGTAGATAATGTCAAAGCTTCCCTCGCCATTGGGCCTGACATTTTGCGGAAGAGGGTTTGTCTGAAGTATCTGAGTAAAGTGGGGCTCCAGGGACCCCCCCGCTGATGATCGAGCCCCACTTCCTGCACCAGGAGTTGTTGCATCTGTTCGACATCAGGACACCTGGAAACTGCAGTGCAATCCCGCGGATTTTCTGGGATTCGCCGAAGATCTGATCTCCCTTCAGGGCCAAATCCCCCCCGTCCTCCGACGACCCCGACCTGCTTTCCTCCTTCTTGTGGCGAGATCGTCGGGCCATGCGCTGTGCCCGGCGCCGCTGCTTCCGCCGGGTTCGGACATGAGGGTCCATTCCCGATCCTCGGAACAATACCTCCTGGGAGATCTCCTTGAATTCGACCGTTGTTGAACTGCTCGAGGAGCTGGATGAACTGCCAGGGCCTTTCCCCGTCTCCTTTTTTCTCTTCCTCGATCTCCCCCTCTTTGACTCTCCGCTCCTTGACCTCGGAGAATGGCTTCTCTTCCGCTTCTTCTTTTTCTTTTTCTTTTCTTTCTTTTTCTCTTTTTCTTCCTTCTCCTTGGCCTCCTTCACCTCGATCTCTGCCGCCGCTGCTGTTGCTGCAGGGCCTGGTCCCCCGACTGCTTCCATTCTGCTCCTCAAGCCTGCCAGCTCGTCGTCGGGCTTCGCACGCCCTTCCAACAACACGTCGCGCCAGGGGACTCCGACTAACTCCTCTAAGGACTTGATGGTGCGGAGGTCGCTGCAATGTATGAGGCCGGGTCCCTCGGCCTCCCTCGAGCATCCTTCGGGGCAGAGATGTACTCGGGCTGCGGTCATGGCGCCTGTGGCCCAGGTCAAAAGGGCTTCGTGATCTGTGCCATGAAGCCTGACGCTCAGGTGCCGCCCGGATGCGTCCCTGCTGTCCTCGAGAATGCGCCCCGTGAAGCGACATGGTGTCCCATAGTAATGCGCTGCCTCTGCAACCACCAGATCCCCGATGCTCGGATCCCAGGGCAGGGCTTCTTCGCCCCGAGGGCCCATGTCCTCTGCATGAGCGGCGGGTCGACGTAGGCCTCGTCTCCTGCGATCGGGCTCTTCTGCTCTTGCCGGTCTCCTCATCTTCGGTGCCATTTCCCTTTACCTTTTCCCTTGGGCGGTCGCCCCTTGTTGCTGTATCCCAGGGTTTGACCCCGTATGATGTGCTTGACACCCTTCCACTTTTTGGTGCCTTCCGGTTGCCGTCCACGATATCCTGGTGGGGATCTCGACGGTGTTCGCGGGCGCCTCGGCAAAGGCTTGCGGGCCGATGGCTTTGGCGGGACCTTCCTAAGTCCTGCTCCCTCTGGGTCCCTCGCGACCTCTGTGTCGGGGCTGACGCCGTCGTCGTGTTGAGACGGGCCTTCACTTCCTTCCTCGTCCACTTCACTCTCAACCTCTGCCTCGTTCTCGGGCTCCTCAACCTCTTCCTCCGCTTCTGTTGCCTCCTCCTGCACGGGCTCAGGCGTAGGATCTTTCTTGGCCTTGCGGCGCTCTCGCTTGCGGCTCCTGCTCCTTGATCTGTCTTTCTCCTCTCTCCTCCGGCGTCGATGTCGAGTCGATGAACCCGGGGTAGCTGCCTCTGACTCTTCTTGTTTTTCCTTCTTCACCCCCGCCGATGCGGCCGCCGGGTCCTCCTTGCCAGGGTGAACCCCCGCAGCGAACTTCTGCGATGCCCCGGCCTTGGTGTCCTTCTTCTCGATCAAGTACCCCTGTTGGTCCACCAACCCGGTGGTTTTGTCAGCCTCGAACGCCTCAGTATCGGCCTCGAGGGTATGGAGAGTTTTCGCCAGGAAATGTATGAGTTCGGAGGCTTTCGCGGGTGGATACCTTGTTACCACCAATCGCTCAATGCGGGTGGCCAAATAGCAGGGATTGCACAACCCCGATGTGCCAGCGGGTAGCCCCAGCCGGTTGTGGCAGCTTTTGCAAGCTGCCATCCACAGCTAGAGCCAAACACTACGGAACCGTCAAAGGTGGTGACTAGTCTTTATCCCCGGGGGCGGGGCACCATAGATGTCCTCTTCACAGGGGGCTTCCGGGCTTCCTTCACTTTCCTTGCACTTTCCTTGGCCCCATCACAGCCGGGCTCCCCGGCTCCACGCTCAACAAGCCGCAGCAGGTGGGCGCTCGTTGACATTGGATCTCCACGTGCTCCGAAGACATCGAGACGTTCATGGCATACTTGGCAGCCTCGGAGCTTCTTCGGCACGGCCAAACGGAGGGGTCCTGGAGGACTTGGAGAGGAAAGGTCCTGGCAGGATGATGCCCATGTTGCAGCTGGAGAGGAAAAAGAGAAACGTCAGGTCAGCAGATGGATGGAGAAAGATTCCCCTTTCGTGGAGGCGCATCCCAATTATGCCAAATCAATAATTACTGCTTGCCTCAAGAAATACTAATACTGCCAACCAGTCCCCCTCCAACGCGCAGCACTGGGACGATCACGATGAAGGAGAAGAGCAGGGTTCCGATGTCGCCGATGATCTGGTGAAAAGGGACGACTCGTCGCCACGGCAAATCCTTCGACCCGGAGGGGGGGGCCGGCGTTCTCCTCACCCGCGTTGTGCGCGGAAGGCTAGCGCAGGCACAGTTTGCCCCTTTTGTGAACAGTTTGCTATGAGGCACTTTTGGACCTTTTGCCCAGCTTTTCTTGAAGGAGAGTATGCAATTTCCTGATGTTGGTGGGCCTGCCAACCTAGGGTCACTGCGAAATCAGGTTGGGTGATTTGGTCCGCGGCAACTGCCCTCAAAAAAGAGCTCAATGCCAGATCGCCGCATGCGAACTTGCTTTTGAGATTAACTCAGATTAACCAAGAAGTGTTCCTTTGATTAGGCACCTCGTGTCGTGTGAAAGTGCTTCCTACGCCCCTTGTGTGCAGCTTCAAGCAAACTGTTGGTTACCAAGTAACCCCCTTTCACTCGCCGTTTGCTCGTTTGCAAGCCCTATGTGTGATGCGGCTTTGCGCTGCATGCAGGAAAGTCTCCTTATTGAAGAATGCACCTTACCACCATATGGGCATAGGTGCATGCAACTGTGTATCCAGGGAACGCCAAGGTTTCCACCAGAACGTGGCAGAACCCTGCGGAGACGACCCTCACGGTCGCCTCGACGATGGTCGTGAAGACATCGTACCTCACCGTCGCGTCACGTGGATCGTCAGTCGGTGGCGGTGGTCGGTGAGGTCGGTCGGTGACTGTGGGTGATGAGACGCGCCGGTGACATGCGCGTCAAATCGCTCCGTTCGATTCGCGATGCCAGGAGCCCCGATCGTAGCGTCCTTGCTCCGTTCGTAGCTCCCTTTGGGTGAGAAATCATGAAATTCATCCCAATTCACGTACGGTCCGCATCACTCCAACATTCGCTCCATAGCCCAGGAGAGTTTGTGCATCTTTGCGACAATTCTGCCAACCATCGCTGGCACCCTGGCGCACCAGCCATCACCAAAGATCTCCTTCACTGAGGTGAGACCTCAGGAAAGGTCTCAGGTTGAAAACAACTGACTCCCCATCTTCTCCCATTGACTTGTAGAGAAGTCCGCCTCATTGACTTGAAAAGCAGTAGAAAGATTGGCAAGCACACCCAAATGCCACAGGTTTGGAGAGTGGTGTTCCCTCAAACAAATGTCTGCCACATGCTAAACTGCTAAACAAACAAATGTCTGCCAGTTTGGCACCTGGGTTCATCCCTCGTCTCTGCCCCACATCTTCACCACCACGTTCGTTCTTTTTCGAGGCACATCCTCCACAGCAGCTGCCTTCGGTGTGACCGTACTGCATGCAGACGCCCATGATTTCGCCATCCGCCACTTCGCTCTCCTCCACGGTCGAACGCTGTGTAACGTGGTCGAACGACGTAAGGAAGGTCCGGTGAGAAGAGGACGGTGACAAAGACGCTAGCTTAGGATAGATGAGCACAGGTGTCAAAAGGCAAAAGCGCAAAAGGAAAAAAATGAAATAAAGAAAAACAAACTTAGAACAACTCTTCATGCGCAGTTTCAGGTATATACTTCCAAACACTCGTGAAAACAATTTGTCTCCTTCGTGCCCTTCACCTCGTACCACTGGACACCGGTGCAGAAGCTGTGGTCGTAGTTTATTGCTTCGGCCCATTTGGTACCTCAACTTCAGAGGATCTTGAGAAACACCTATAGGCGGCACTAGGACGTGTCTTCAGATGGGAAAAAGCTCCAAAAACCTGGTGGAGGCCATCACTACTGCAGTGTGGAACTCTTCTGGAAAACAGGCAATATGAAATTGGCATTCCAGAGAAGCATTTTGGATGCCTACTTGTATCAGGATACACCTGATCCGCATCACTGAGATCCTGACATTCTGTCACTGAGCAATACTTTTGCCTCAATCACCGCGATTCCCATATTTCGGAGCATCAGGAGCATAGCTGCACAACCCACCTGACATGATGAACCCACCTGAGAAGAACCTCGTGGTTCGTGCTTCGTGGTTCGTTCCAAAGCGGTCTTCAGCCTGGGCTGCACCACCTCTTCAGCCTGGGCTTCCCCACCCTTCCTCTGGATCCACCGGTGATTCCGCACAGAACTCTCGCACCTCGAAGATCGGATGCTCCGATGCTCTCCGAGGTTTCCACGCGGCCGGTTTGGGGACGACTTAAGGAGGCGAAGAGGGGGAGTCAAATATCGTGAAGACACATGGTTTGAAGAAGTGTTTACATGGTGTTTACATGGTTTTTACATGGGGTATCAACATAAAAGCGCCCATATGAAGAGGTTTTGCACAGTTATACAATCCCATGTCTAGATGTCAGGGGAGGATTATATTCATCAAGAGTCTAGATTAGGCTGACGCCATCTGCGCAGTTCTCGGGCTCCTCTTCCCGAAATCGATGATGTTGCGGAAAGCTTGCTGCTGCCAAGAGCAATGTGGTTCATCTGTCTCTGTCACCATGCTTGAAAGGAGCGAGTTATCTATACAGGTGAATGTTCAAGTGACAACGGCAAACAAACCACCCTGGGAACAAAGAAACAACACCAAATGGCAAATCCAGACTTTTGGCAGCCTTACAGCAAGGCTGCCAGCATCATCTTCCCTTCGCTTCCATTCACCTCGCTGGGCTTGCCCAACCGTCGCCACATGTGAGATGGCCACCACCTGGGCTCCAAAACGCACCACCACGCGGTGGACGCACATCGACACGGTGACGCCGTGAACGACATCCCAGCGGCTCGGTCCCACCAAGTGAAGGCAGCATCCAAGCTGGTCACGATGAAGAGAACGATCGTCAGCGCCCAAACAAACCTGAGGTGTTTCGTCAGCCTTTTGGTTTTCTTTCGTTTTTCGAAAGCAAAGGGCTTCTGAAGGAAGACGTGGCAGAATTGGCAAGCGAACTGTTGGGTGTTGGAAGAGAAGCGTGAACTCGCTTAGAGCTGGATACATCCTGAGATCTCTCCACACAATCTTGTCTTTCGGATTAAAGAAAAAAAACGGCGGCTTTTCAACCTTTGGAGACTCGTTGTCCCCTGTCCTTTGGAAACATTGTCCATCTGCTGACCCTGATGTTGATGTTGCTGCTATGGCAACAGGAGCAAACAGCTCCCAAACTCTACAAAAAGCGTGCCCAGACTGCCTCAATAGGTTTTGACCCATCCGCGATATGTTTCAAAAAAAAAGTCCTTCTTGCAGCTAAGTAGCCCAGGAGAAAAGTTAGTTGACTGGTTCTCTTGGGTCTTTTGCGTCTTCGATTGACTGCCACCACCTCAACTCATCAGCGATGTGGGTCGTCCCAGCAGTCCAACATTTCAAGGCAATTGAATGGATTCAAACTTCGCATGACTTCACAGCGCTTTTTGAGATCTTCCACTTCAAGGGATGCCGGGATCCTGATCTCATGATCATGGATCGGACATTCACCACGATGGGTCTGTGTCCAACCGCCACGGAAACTAAGGAATACACATCCACATCCAGGGTTTTGAAGCCCTTCGTTCACCCCAAGAAACCAGAATTTGCGAAAAAAAAGTTAAAAAAAGACGCTCGAGCATCGGTGGAGGCCATCGCAAGTAGGTTGGAGGCCATCGCTAAGACCTTCCGCTCCATCTGAGTGCGGCACTGCCCGTGGATGCAGCGCCAGTGCCACAGAGCTCGGCCGGTGGCACCGGGCCTTTTTCGTACGGCGACGGACGTGTGCGACGTGTGCCGATGTGTGGCTGAAGAGCTGAAGAAGAACACCGAAGAACACGACGGCCGTGTTCTCTTTCAGTGTGTTCCGCAGATTTGGTCTCAAGAAAAATATCTTCGGAAAAGATCGGAAAAGCACAGTAGTTGTTTTGCAATCCAAAGGCAAGAGGCTACTCCTCCGATTGGTTCGGGTCCCTCCACCTTCTCTCTCCCTCCTCTCTTTCAATCTCAAGGGAATCCAACCAAAGCCAAAGAGGCACTCTGTTGGATCGTCAAGAACCTGCACATTCAAGTCCGCAAACCTCCACCTCTTCCCATCCAATTCCACCTGCTGCTCTCTACTGTTGTCATTTGCCACGAACTGAAATCATCCCCAATCGCCTGCTGAGCATCCAATCGCTAGACCCACCGAATCCAGCGCAGCCTGCGAGTTAGCTTTGCTCAAACGCACGTCGATGCGAGACGAATCGATTCCAAGCGATGGACTTCGTGCAACATGGAAAAGGCAAAAAGGCATGGAAGTGATTTTTTGCGGAGGCCATTGCTAGTAGGTTGGAGGCCATCGCATGGACTCCACAGCACGATCAACCCCAAGTTTCTCTGCAAGGCTTGAGCTCATTCTGCTAACACATTCAAGCGACATTCAACCCCTCTATATACAACTACCTATTCTCAACTTGACCCTTGCTTGCTGTGACGTCCCTGGCCTGTCCAGGATATTTACCAAAGTACAAGCGCATCTTCAACGATCGGACTGTTTTACTTCCACTGAGGGTGTACTGGATGGACGACACGGTCTCTGCTTTGAAGCTCTGGCGTGACCGAGTAGCCTCAAGACAAAAGAGAAGGAAGATTCATTCGATCTTTGGAGAGGAGGACAGCATGTTATAATATGTCATAATTGGTGTCTCTTGCAAGTGGTTTCCAGTCAGTTCCCCATTTTGTTGGGATGAATGGTTCTCATGCCTCTTGTCTGGCTAGCAGCATCTGCCAGTTCATTGATCGAAACCTAGTGAAGGCGTGCAGAATGGAGAACCTCTTGCCACAGGTCGAGGAACACCAAGTATCAGAGCATGACACAAATGGGAGCTCTGTCCATATAGGAATCCATTCAAATTGGTTGACTTTCGAGGGTTCCGACATGTGCACGACATGTGCACGACACAACCTTTGTGCCCTCGTTCTGCCGTTGCAAAGCTCTTCCAACGACTTGGGTACCCCTACGTAGTCAGCCGGCCAGTGCCTTCGGATGGAACGTGAAACGATTTCTGCACGAGGTTCTCAAAGCGTTGCTTTCAGAAGCTAGAACTCCAATCACATGAAGACAGGTCCAGTTCAACCCATCAGCTCTACCTCATTCAGCTTCCTTTCGCCCGCTGAGGCAACACGCGTATAGAGCCAACAGCCAACTCCCACCACGAGCACAGTCTCAGCACACGGGATGATGGTGCAGGACTCATTCAGATTGGCTTTGGGGCTTTCGGGGTGCCAATTCTACAAGAGACTGAAAAGGAAAGCGATCTGAAAGGCTCAAAGCTCAACTTGAGTTGAGAGACGCCCCCTTTGGGACACATCTCTTTTTTGAGGCACCCAGAGCGGAAGCTCTGAGGCTTTTTCCTGACCAGGAGATTGAGTACCTTCTCTATTTCTTCTTTTTTTCGGGTTCTACCAGTCCTACCTGACGGTGGATCAACCGCTTTGGCAACAGAAAATTCCCCCAAGCACAACTTGGACCACGCACCAAAGCAGTGGCCAGGAGGGCAGTGCTTCTTAAGGCTTTGTGGTAGACCTTCATGTCCAAATCCAGCTCCTTCTTCGGGGCAAAAGCTCTGGCAAGACTGCTCATGCAAGCTCATCTGGCATAGCACCAAAACATCTCAATAGACAGCTTAAAAGTTCTCCGCTGAATTGATTTGATCCCCACAAACGCATCCAAGGATGCGAAAATTCCAAAGCCATTAGGATGCTCAAACAAAGACCAACATGCCACTGCTTCGGATGGTCCAACTTCTCCTGTTGCAGGATGTTGTTGGCGTGGGGGTCGAAGGCCAATCCTCCGACCTCGTTTGTCATGACTGGTGTTAATTCCAATTTATTTTAATTTAATTCTAATTTGTTACTACTAGTAAGTCACTTGTTCCTAGTAGCTTCTTGTTACTAGTAGTAAGGCACCTGTTACTACTAGCGTGGCACCTGTTAGTAGTAACCATGGTTCGTTCGTCTTCGGCCGAAATCGGACGGAGGATCCGACGGCTCCGCGCTCCGTCGATCCGTCGGGAGAAGTTCGCCTCCCTCGGTGGATCCGAACAGCAAAGCATCCGTCTTTTCGGTTCAATACGGGTACATGAAAATCTCCTTTTTTATATGTCTTTCCAGAAAATCTCTTCGTGTTCTGCTCTTGATCTCCGCTCGAGACCTCTGAGTCACCCTACAGCATTGGAGCCGAACATCATCACTACAAAGGCAGGACCGGTCAGGATGAGGAGAAAGATCAGCAAAAGTCGCATGAAGGTCAAGAAGGCGGCCTCAACGACCCGCCCCCCCGAAGCCGCCCGAAGCCGCCCGAAGCCCCAAGCTGCGAACGAATTCAAAGGGGCTGGGCGGCTTCGGCAGAAGGATCTCAAGGATGGTGGGTTGGTTTTGTTTGCTTGTGTTACTGCTGCCAGTGCATTTTTTGCCTGATACCCTCGAAAGGACAATGTTTCAAGGTTTCATAAATGAAGACTTGAGATATTTGTGGCCAACCCATGTCTCCAAAGTCAGTAAAGCCTGTCCAGGTATCCATGAAGCCACTCGAGCCTTTGATGTACCAAAGGCAGATTTCTGCAGCTTAGTGAACCAATAGCATCTCACGAGGAAAAACTGCGCCTGCAAGTCAATCCCCATAGCATTGGGCCGCTCCACCTATGCATTGGGAGGCATCTCTCAGAGAAAACGTTCTCACAGTAGAAGACTTGAAGACACCAAACACTCTAAAGGTTATGGTTATGGTTGTTGCTGGCTGCATGTCTCTTCCAAAGGGTTTCTAGCGTCCACTTTCAGGGCTTGAATGTTCCATTACAAATCCTCTGCCTTGATTCATCCACCGACACTCGCCGCACTCGCCTTCAACAGGTACACTCGCCCATTCTCGGTCAGCACCAAAAGGGTTTCATTGTCCTGGACCCGAGCACCGAGCGATTCATGGCTCGCATCGTCGCTCTCCTCGTCGCATCTCGTCGCTCCGCTCGCTCCGCTCCTTCGGTCGAAAGAAGTTGAAGAGCCCCAGGGTCACAACGTTCATCAGGATCACTGTCACAGGATGAAACCTGAGCAACGCTGCCAAGGGGAAACGGACGTAAAGTGACAGGAAACCAGACGAAAGCGAACCTGCTGGACTGTTTCTCCAGTGTCCATGCAAGGGATGCCGACTTTGCAGAAAATCAAAAGGTCTTTACTCAAGGGTCAAATGACCCTAGAAGGTCAAAGGTCTACAATGATGACGCATTTCTGAGAGCTCAGCTTGGCAGTCTTCACGACAATCGCATTTTTCAGCTGCTCCGGAGGGATCTGAGAAGAGACGCGTCCGATTGTCAGACACTGGTCTTCCATGATCTTTCAACCAGGAACACCCATACGGTCTTGTTGGTGCCCCCATGACCTTTCGCCGTTGCTTCAACTGAATAACCCCATTCGACTCACCACGGGTTTTGTCAAGTCCACTCTCCATACGAGGAAAACTCGATCGACATCGACATCGAAGTCAGGGGCCTCGTTGCCCATGTGAGCATAGACCTTCTCAAAAATGCTCATCTTCAGAGACTCCTTCACGCCCTGAGAACCCAAACGCATGGCCAGGGAGAAATGCCGCTGAAAGGGCACATGGCCAAGCCAATGATGGAACACAAGATGCAAACCGTTAGTTCCTACCTCTGACCTGGGGCTGAAGGCAATATAGTCAAGCAGATTTGGCGCCAATTCCGCGCTACCCCGGAAGCTGTAGCAAATTCCGTGCGTGCAATCACAACGGGCCACAAAAAGCAATGAACACAAAAAAAAGACAAATTAGCTTCTTGTTACTAGTAGCATTCTTGCTCCTAGTAGTAAGGCCAGGAGCCCCGTTCGTAGCGTCCTTGCTCCGTTCGTAGCGATGCCAGGAGCCCATAGTAGCTTCTTATTACTGGTAAGCAAGAACACGATGAAACGTGTTGTAAACGTGTTTTGCGCCAAATCCAAGGTCCCAGCCAGGTCTGCATCTTCAACATGACCCAAGGTTTCGTCCATATCTCAGTCAAGACAGAAAACCGATTGCTTCGCCAGCGCTCGTTGTGCCAATACCAGGTGGCCTTCTTTCTCAAGATGGTTATGGCAGTCACGTAGTTCTAGAATCTTCTCCAATCAGGCCAATCATGATGCATTCTCTTGTCAGGTGATAGTGTGTTGTTGAACCTGCTGAAAATTTCCTGCCATCACTCAACTCACATGGTTTTGTTGAGGCAAATCACTATTAACTACTAAACCCAGGCTAGGACGTTGGATAAGATTGTGGTTGGCAGAAAACCTCATCAAATCTTCAGCATCCAGGGCCTAAGAATGTACTGTAAACAGGGATGAAAAAATAGAAATAACATAGCAAGAGAACTGGAGAACGGCGGGCCCAGGGGCCCCAAAGAAAAAGAATGCTGGTTGGTAGTTTCTCCAGTCCTACGTGGCGTTTGTCAGGACCCGTTTGACAGAAAAAAGGGGCTCCTCTGCCTGCTGCCTTTTCGGCCTGTTGGACATAATATTCATAGAGCCAGGAAATGAAAGGACCAAAGGAGGTGACCAAATCGAGGTCCTTCTCTGGAGATGGGTGGGGCTGTCGCCGCCTTCTCCGAATCAAGGCCTACAACTTGATGTTGATCCCACTGGATGAATGCGGTTTCTTTAAGGAGCTCAGAACCACCAAGCTCACACACCTTGCAGCACATCTGTCGAGAGCCGAGGATCTAGTGGCACATGGAGACTTCATCGCCCTCCGGACCCATTCATCCTCGTCGAGATAGATCCTCAGCGGTCGAGGCTCGCACCGCTCGGCCCGGTGGAGGAGCGGCACCTCGCAGGGCCGGGCTCTGTGGTGATCTCTCCTGGGTCTCCCAGCTCACTGCTCGCAAGCCTCAGTGAATGGGTGTTCCTCCAGCTCCAGGCTACTCAGGTCTACTCCAGCTGGAGGCCCCTAAACCGAAGGGAAAATTAGGTAAATGTCAATTAATGGTCCACCCAGCTCGCAAGTTAGCTCCTGGCATCGCTACGAACGGAGCAAGGACGCTACGAACGGGGTTCCTGGCCGTACTACTAGGAGCAAATAGCTATGGCTATTAGTAACAAGAAGCTACACAGGGCAAACTGAGATACAATACTTCAGCATCACACCTATTGAACATGACAGCACTCATGGTCGGTGACGCAAACCCTAATCCAACAGGCAGCCAAAACAGGGTCCTGGGGTCCCCCAAACTCAAAATAAACACCAAAAAGGAGAGAGAGAGAGAGAGAGAAACAATATATATATATATATAATACACTGCACGATTGCACATGATTCTTGACTCTCTTTGGAGGGAGGGTTTGTTGTCCTTTCTTCTCAGACGACCTCTAAGACATCGAATGACAGGGGCGCCATTCGAAACGGCCCACAGTGAAGCGTGCCTCCGTTCAATCAAGCACTGCACTGAGGACAGTGAAATTACTGTTCAATTCCAATCTGTACACTTGCTATTGTCTTTGAAGCCATAGGACCATAGGGTTGCGGTTCAATCCTCTATCATACCCTCACTTTCACACAGCATCTCGCCAAGAAAAAAAGAAAACGACTGACTTGCTCTGGTGGTCTTTCGCTGACCTGCCCAGTGCACCAAGCCCAACTGAAACTTCAACTACTAGTAAGGCACTTGTTACTAGAAGCGATGCACTTGTTCTTAGTAGCTTCTTGTTATTACTAGTAAGGCACTTGTTCCTAACCAACCCTGCCTACGTGCCCTTCATTGGTCCAACCCCCTGGAACCCGCCAAGCTGCGTCATGGCTCGGGCGTCCTCTCCCATGGCCGTCACACGCCGCGAACGACTGGTCGGCTTGAGCTTCCGGCGGACGCCCGCTACTCTGAGCTACTCGGACGCTCTCAGTGGCGCTAACAGTGCAACTGGGCAGAGGAATTGTACACGTTTGATGATTTCATGGGATCCATATCTTGAGAAGGTGCTTGAAAGTTGCCCTTTTGCTATAGGCGTATCAAAAGCTGTGGAAGAAACGGTCTGCCAAAAAGAAACGCAGACACCAAATCAAGTCTCTTGATTCCTCGAAGGATAAAAGCTTCCTACAAAAGGGTCCAAACCAAACACCCTCCTTACTTTTTTCAGTTGTTCCTGGATGGCACATTTGCTGCAGTCCAGCAGTCTCCCTTTGGCCTGAAGCTTCTTAAGAGCTAGGTGGACCGCCAAGGGCTGATTCCTGCATTCACCACTGGCAGCAACGCAATGAAGCTGCCCTCAAGAGCTGATGTTGGACTGCTCCCTTGTGCTGTGATGATCTGGAGGAGTTGTGGTGGTGTGTTTAATCAACACACGGTTGAAGAAGAAAAAAAAGGGTGCATCGGTGGTGGTCTCAGTTGCGGCTAAGCGGCCAGACACAGAAGCCTTCTCCCACGTGACTGGTGAAGGTCTCCCCTTCTGTCTGCGGTCCGGGGACATTCTGCGGTGGGATTCATCACCAAAAGAAGATTCACCATGCGATGTCTGATCAAAAGCTAAATCGCCCCCACTGCCAAAGCAGATATATGCACTAGATTGCTCTCGCACAAAATTAGAAAAAAAGACTAATGAGCTTTTGCCACATGGAACTAGTGACACATCACTGTGATCATGAGAAAAAGCTTGGCTATCCAAAGTACTCTGAAGAAAAATAGTACTGTACCTTTCTTGAGTCAATCTGGACTCTGGACCAATACACTGGGCAATCATGTGCCTCGCCCTCAATGACCCCAAACTTGTTGGGATCAAAGACAAGTCTCCAGCTGCAGTAGAGCCTCAGACCATGTGAAGACATGAAAAACACGTCAACTCTGGCGTACCTTCAGCCTTCAGCACGAGGAGAAGGGAGCAATCTGGGGAAGACTGTAGAGGTGCCGTTTCAAACGTCAGGAATCCTGACGGAAAGTATGGCGAAAATGTTCTGATGCCTCTATGGAACCGAACCTCCTTCAGTTCCTCTACAAGACCAGCTTAGAAAAAAAAAAGGTCCAAAGCACTCACCAAGCCAGACGGGCCTCCGCAAAGGCCAGTTGGGCACAGCCCCTTCGATCTCCCCAAAGACGTAGACCTGACAAAAAATGCTGTGACATTGTGATAGAAAATTGAAAACATGATATTCAAACAGAAACTGATGGCAGAGAAAGGAGACAAAGACATGTGCAAAGCCGTCGTTTCACATGATTTCACATGTATACAATCCTGTACCCATCCCTGTTCGTCTCCATGTTTCAGGAGAAAACGGGCCTCGGATCCTGATGCGGAGAGGAAGATGCAAACCGCGGAAAATGTTGTCAATTTTCAGAAACATCCTGTCTTCGCCGAAAGTATTCACCGTGAAAGCGCCTGAGGTTGAGTGTTCATTGCCCCACGGCTGCTTAAACTGCCATCACGCCTGGTGCACCGGGCATGAATATGACGGCCGCTGTCTGAAGGTGGAACCCACTGTCTCAGAGACATTTCACCTAGAATGGCATTTCTGTGGAAGAAGGGAAAAAAACATGCACATGAAACAAACAAAGAAAATTGCCATGGGAAAATGTCACTGAGAAATGATCTCGTCTGTGCTGCACAAAAAGGGTTCAGAATGGACATTCTCGTCCCCGTTGCATTCTCGTGACCCATTTTACTCACCAGAAACGCGCACCTCCCACGCCACTGTCCATCGTGTTTGGCATCCGCCATCATTTGACCTGGCAATCCACACGTCCTCATCTCAAACGATGTTGCATCAACATCCAATCTCCTGTCACCAGAACCAAAACCCTTTCTGGCGTGCCTCTCTCACCAGAAAGAAGAGATCTCAGGACATGCCACCAGGTGACTGCCACAAATGAAGCACTTCTACTGATTTGTTGTTGTATAAATATGTCAAAGCGGCCATGTCTCCTGCACCTCTCATTTGTTTTCCATGCTTCCCAAATGCATGCTGCAATCTTTAATGTTTTAGTGGTAGAAGCAGGCCCAAACATCTTTCAATCGATGCAATGACTCTGCTGTATATAATCAATTAAGGCAAAATACCACTCCAGGGCACAGCTGTGAGCCAAATTGCAAGTATTCCGCAGTTTACATTTTCTATGCAAGCCTCAAGTGACCAGAATCGGCAGGACAAATGAAAACAAACTCAAATTGTGAGATTTCGATTGTTTTGCAGGCAAAATTCAGACCAGCTCGATTCCCTCCCTTCCACTTTGCACTCTGGCTGGATTACAGTTCAGTAATGGATGGACCAACCCTGGTCTTGGCTCATTCAAGTCGAGGAAGCGGGAGGGGGGGAAACTTGACTGCAACGTTACAACCCTTCAGCTCCGGTGAGGGATCAAAAAAAATGATCAGCATCAAAAAATACAAGATGGATCAAAAAGAAAAATGATCAAAAAAAATTCACAGCGAAGAAAGAGAGAATGGGGAAAGGACAGATCGGTTGCTTGAAGAAAAAATCAGGAAGATATTGCCAATCACAGGGTCCCTTTGGCAACTGGTACTTTCTCTGATAAGCTACCTGTGCAAGTGGCAATCAAACTTAGTGCAGCCACCATACCCAGGGCCAAGGCAACCAGGAATACCTTCTCTCAGCGATTGGGCCAGATGGGAGGCACCAGCCCAATGTAAAGAGCTGGGAAGTAGTAACGGCCACCCCAATGCGCATAGCAGTGGTACAGAACTACGCGCGTCCCACTCGACATTGCGAGAAGCCTTGTTTTTTTCCACGAGTGCGGACGCCGAGTGGGCGGAGTGCCCAGGTCATCATTGAAGGGGAAGGAAACACAACATGATGAGGGGGAAAAGAACACAAGCAACCCCAAAACCAAACAAAAGCCCACCAGAACAACAAGCCAAAACCAAGAAACCAAAACACCACCAAGGGCCAGAGGCCGGTTCCCCCTCATCTAAACGTGTTTCCTCTGTACGAGGGTGAGACAATTGAAATGGCAAAACCTAACTGTGTACTAACTATGGGCCTGAATTCACTACGAAAGTCGGTCGGCAAGGTCAGCGCAAGAGCGGAGTGCAGCGGAGCCAATCAAAGGGGCTTCGCCCCACCCACAAAACAGTGACCAGGAGGGCCACTGCATCGTGTGGCGAAAGTAATAGTTGGGTGCTTTGCAGGAGCTGCTTGTTTGTTGTCAGCCGATCTGATCCTTGCCCAGGGAGATCAGTTGTTGCTCTGCTACAAAAGCCGTGGAAAAGGCCCATCTCGTTGCACAACCCCTTCAACTGATTGCACGAACGAGACGAGAGGCATATCGATGGTCAGACAGTGGAGGCAGAGGCAAACGAATGGAGCTTGCTGACGAGGGTGATGCCATCCCCCCCGAAGGGAGGTCACCTTTGCACCCCTTAGCATTCAAGGAGTGCCAAAGCGGTACTCTCTGTTCCAGAAAGAAAGAGAGGTGCTAAAATGCGAGCATTCTCCTGTTGCATGCAAGGCCCGTGTGAAACCAGTGAAACGTGGACCTATCCTAGCATGGTACTTGTGCCTCTTTGTACAGCAATGGTCATGGCGTGGCTGCTGCAAGGAGAACTAAGGTTCCCCCTGGCAACCTTCCATTACCATTCTCTACCACCCGCCTCTTAGGAGCGAAAGCTAAGGCTCTCATTCCTGCAGGCTCACTGAAATATTGATAGTGAGGCCGAAATGATGGCTTTGCCTGAGCTTTCTTGAGCCTGGCTCGCAAAATCGAGACAGCACAATAGCAGTCCTTCCCCACTGTCGTCAGAGCGTTGCCAGTCTAGAGTATGGCTTCGTGGAAGTCTTCCCTCCATTGGTCGTTGGTATTTGGCGGCAGGAATCGGAGCCATTGGGGCTTGTCCAATTGCTCGCATTTGTCAAAAGCATTGCCCCGGGCGTAGGTACCTCGCCATGTTGCGCTTTTCCCTTTTTTACGAACTGTTCGAAGCTGCGTGCAACCTGCAAAAGCACGCCTCGCGATGTAAAGTAGGGATGATGGGATGCAGACCTACTCAGTCTTGGCGCTCTTGCTGGCTTTTGTGTCTCCCTCTCGAAAACGAAAAGGGGATGAATCGCCAAGTGAGAAACTTCGTCGGCTGAGCAGTCCTCGGCACTGGGATGTTGCCTTAGTACCGTTCCCGGAAGATTTCGTGCCACTGCCCACACCAACCGAAACCGGACTAGCGTGTCCAGCGCCATGGGCGTTCCCACCTAGCCTATGCGTGCTGGAACCTAGAGCATCTAAGCTCCGAGTGTTGGCCATTGCGGAAGCAGGAGACACAGTCACTGCCGACCATCTCTTGCAAATGGCCTGCTTGGCGGCAGAGCACAAACCCACAGTGCTGGGTATTCCGGGCCAAGTGCCTATTCCGTATCAACTAGAATGCACGGTCGTCCTTTTGCAGAGCTTGCACGCCCTCTTCCAGCTGCTGACCTCAGGCAATACAATGCAATACTGCCCCCAAGCATCCAGCTTTGCTGTTGCCCTGGGAACTGCCGCTCGGCAAGATAATGGGCACATTGTTTCAATGGCCGCCAGTCTTGCGCTGGCCCTTCGAGCTGGCAGGTCTACCTTGGCAGTAGCAGGTGTCTTTGGAGCGGGCAAGACCAGATCCCTGACCTTTCTCCTTGCCTGGCTGGCCCTCACCACTCACCTCAAGATTGCAGTGGTGCACAAAGAGAATCCAGCGGGTCGGGCAATCACTAAGCTGCTCACAGCCTTTGACTTAGAGCCGGACCACCAAAGATATTTTGTTCGACCAGTAAGCAGGGAAGAGGCAGAGACCAACACAGCTTGCGCGAACTATGACCTGCGAGCAAGCGAAGCGGCATCATACATCCCTGGCTGCCACGTGGTGATCGTCACTACTGGACTGGTTTGGGACCAAAAAGGGCAAACTCACTCCACACTCAACACCCATA